AGCACTTCTGATTCACAACTGAATAATGGAAAAGCCAATTCTCCGTCTCTCCTCTCACCTGCAACGGCAGGCTCTGGAAGAACTAAGGAGTGTAGAAACCCTTCCCACTGACAGAAATGCATGACTTCTGACTAATGAGCATTCACATGAGAGTGCATAACTAATTACACCAGCAGATATGGGACTGAGCAGCTTTGAACATGTTGGTTTTAGAAATGTTTTTTGAAGCTAACAAAAATGTTCTAAAAACACCTTCCTAGCATTCCCATTAAGCTATGAAAATGTTATTTCTGAATGTTCTCAGTACATTCAAAATGTTCTTTTTTAATGTAAAAATGTTTTGGTTGGTTATGTGAAGAGAAACCATTAAGAGAATGTTCAGTTTTATCATTTCGCAAAAAGTATGGTTTCTTTTGTTACTTTTATATTAATATTAATGTTACGAATGTTCTCTGAACAATCTAAAACAATTAGGAAGTAATAACGTTAGATTAATGTCCAACTAAAATATTGAAGAAAAATGTTCCATGAATGATGTATAAATAATGTTTTTGTGGAAGAACATTTGTTTACAACTTTGTCTGTTAACTGTGAATAGTTCATCCAAAAATGGATATCAAGCCACAAAAATGACTAAAAAAACCACCATAAAACTGATCCATATTGCACTAAATATAGTATAATAATATAGTATGTACTAGTATAGTTCTGTTATGGTGTTTTTGCCCTTTTTGGAGCTCAAATTCACTATAAACTGTCCTCACTTGGAAAATAGCTATGTGAAGATTCTACAAAAATTCACTTTCCCATTTCATGAGACATGAGCATGAGTGTACGTAAATAATGACAAAAGTTTCATTTTTTGATGAACTATTCCTTTAAAGAAGTGTAAGAACCTCGCTGGGATCTAATAAGACAGCTGTGACATTCAGACAAAGGTAGCAAGACAAATCTTTCTTTTTTATTAAATGTAAATAAATAAAAAATCTTTATACTCATCAGTAGATTTGTTCTTTTTTTGGCTCGCTTTATTACAGAATGACTGGCATTTCCAATAATGATCATCTAGTGGAGATATGCCATCCCATTTCCATTGCTTTTTAATATTAAACAGATGAAAGCAGATTATCTCCATCTGAAACTTTTTTCAGACTTGTGTTCAACTCCTTGTCTAGATATTTAAATAATGACTTTAGCTATAGTGTGGACCAGACATCAAATACTTTTTGGCAAAATAGCCTAGAATATGAATGAGAAGATTGCTGTGAGTAATATTGCACAATATTAAAGTTCCAAAATACCTCCAGAAACAATCCCTAATTTAGATAACTGAATAATTCACATATAAAAACCCAGATGCTTCCGTCTTATGTCTGATTCGAAAAGCTTTTCTACTCAGATTAAGCAGAAGCACTGTCACAGAAGAGTGGTTATCCTCAGAAAAAGCTTTCTTTCGGAAGATAGTTCGTCCTTTTGCTTCCTGGGGAGAATCTGTGCTTTATAACACAGTGTCATTACATAAACCACAGGGAGAAACAACGCCAGACAGTGGAGCTCTTATGAATGAGAGGAATTATTCATAAACCTGAATTATCTGACACGTGATTAACCCTCTAATTATACCCACTCACGCTTTCCTTCAAGGCTGCTCCCTGAAGGAGTGAGGTCAACGCTAAGTTAAAAAAACTGCTTCATAATTTAATGGAAGTGAGAGTGTATTTGAAAGAATTTAGTCATTATGTGCTAATTGCTGACAAAAATCTCATCGCAATCATCTGACCATTTCTCGCCTACAAGTAAATCACATTATATCAGCAAATTCCCACAATTAACTAAAAAACATTTTAAATACCACCATGACCGCTGTCATCACATTCAAACAAACCAAATCATAATTCAACTGTGACGTATTAGACCTCTGCTCCTTGTGACTGAGCAACTTTTCATCACAGCTCTTAACAGCTTGATCAATCCCAACAATCATGAGCACATGCAGCACAACATCATTTTTAATCACAATCTTCCCTCCTTGTCCCTGACCACTATTCTGACATCATAATCACTATGCAATGTTTCAGTTTTGATGTTTTAATGAGAGGAGTCACCTCTGTCTGAGCAGACTTTCAATTTATAACAACTCAGTCAATAAAGACTCAGAATCGTAGTCATTTTCACTTTCACACTTCAACATTGCACTATCATGATGAAATCATTACCACTATGCCATAGTTCAATTGTGCTGTTTTAGAAGAAGAATTATGTTTTAGTGTACATTCATATCAGTCTAGCCAATCATCACAGTCATTTTCATCAATACATCAACATCAGTAATTAAAATGAGACATTTTAGCCATTAATATCTGGGCTGCTGGTCCAATTATAACAGCTCCACCAGATATCACAAACAGAAACAGTCATTTTCATTACTATTGTTATGTCATAATCACCATTCCATAGCCTAATTGAAATGTGACATTTTAGGCATGACTGTTTGAACTATGGGTCTAATTATAACAGCTCTGCCAGATACAGTGGGGAAAATATGTATTTGATCCCCTGCTGATTTTGTAAGTTTGCCCACTTACAAAAAAATGAAGGGTCTGTAATTTTTATGGTAGGTTTATTTTAACGTATAGAGACAAAATACCAACCAAAAAATCCAGAAAAAACACATTATATAAAGGTTAGAAATTTATTTGCATTTCAGTGAGTGAAATAAGTATTTGATCCCCAAGCAAAACATGACTTCGTACTTAATACAGAAACCCTTGTTGGAAAGCACAGAGGTAAGATGTTTTTTTGTAGTTGGTCACCAGGTTTGCACACATCTCAGGAGGGATTTTGGTCCACTCCTCTTTACAGATTCTCTCTAAATCCTTAAGGTTTCTTGGATGTTGTTTGGCAACT